AATTCGTTGCAGCAAGCCGAGTTTGCAAAGTGTGCAACATTTGTAATAATAACTTGACAACTTAGCAGCAAGCTCGCATTTGCAACATGTGTTGTGTATGTTATCTTAAGCACCGGCAATTCACATGCACAGTCTTAGGACTTAGTCTTTGCTAAGCAGTTGGCTCTCTGCTAAGCTAACAAGCAGCGTGTGGAGTGGCCTAGTGCAAATGGAGTGCTTTTGTTGTCGCTGTTCTTAAGCAGATTTATTTTCACCTGCGTCCTAGCACCTTTTGTGGTGAATTGCCAAATTTTGCTGTTATTTTTACCGTTGACATTCGTCGTTTTCTGTCTCATAAAAAGGTTTATAGATCATCAAAACGGGTCAAGCTGACAAAATACATGGCACAGCAAATCTAATATTTTAGGGTGCATGTCGCATGTCGCTTTGCTACAAATCCGTTATTGTGCTTTGCTATGCGAGTAAATTTTTTTACTATTTCACAGTTAAATTCGAATGTTGCTAAAAGCAATGATGATTTTTGACGTTTATCGTTTGCTTTGTTTACGCAAGCAACGTTTATAGAGTATCTCCTCAAGTAGTTGACAGCTAATTCTTAAGAGAGTTTCCGATTTTGAAAATCAGTTTAATCATAGATTAAATTTTATTTATCTACAGGCAAAGTTTTTAGGTCTACGCTTTGGACGAACTTTTTCTCATATTTGTGGTGTGCATCTCTCAAGATTGCATTCCTACTTGTTCAAATCCCACTCCGAACTGCTGTTGGTTTTTATAAGAAGCACGTTCCTGGTCAACACTTATCATTTTCCGGCGCGGATCGACAGCCATTAAAAACCCCTGCTTTATGTTTGTCGGCACGAGGAACCCAACCTACTGTCCTCCATACGCAAATACAATCACGAAACCACAACTGTAAAAGAATTACAGATCTACAATTGAGAATGAATAATAAAAAGGTACATAAAAAGCAAATGTCTTCATTTCCTTAAGAAATAAGCTAGCGAGTTGACTAAAATATTCCAGCTTCCAATCAACTTTAGTTAATTTTTGAAACCACATATCATTTTTGTGCGTAGTATAGAATACTAGATAGCTTTTATGGTCTCTGAAGTAGTCTCACTGACTATTTACTCACTGTGCTAACAATTCGGTCTGATTTAGCCATATCGGTCTATCTTCATATACCTGAGCTTCTCAGTTTTGGAGTTATCGTTCTGAAATTTGGCACATGTGCTTTTCTCTCCTAGAAGCTGCTCATTTGTTGGAATCGGCGATATTGAAATTCTATATTATATATTGTAACTGTCATATAAACTGATCGATTAAAATGAAGTCTTTGTATGGAAAACTTTTTTATTTGCCAAGATATTTTCACGAATTTTGGCATGTAATATTTTCCTAGCAAATGCCATAAGTACTGAACATATTGTTCCGATTGGACCTCTCTATCTTATAGCTGCCATACAAACTGATTGATTAAAATGAAGTCTTTATATGGAAAACTTTTTTACACGGTGACTTAAAAAATCGTAAAGAAATACATAATAGAGATATGTAAGGAATACATGATTACATTATGCAAAGCAGCTGTTTGTCGCTCGCAGAATCCTAATAGCTATAAGCAATGCCAAACGCAATAAAAATGCAAATAACAATTTGCATGCGACTCAAAAGTAAATTTTTCAAAGCAGCATACACATTTTTTTTTTTAAATTTTTTTGTGTTATTTAAGAACAAAAGCATTTGAAGATGCTGTAATTTTTTGCCATATTACTTTGACGCAAGTATTGTTTTACGTTGTCATTTGGTGAGAAGAGCGCGTTGCGTGCTGAAGGTTTTTTTCGGAAACAAAAAAAGGTAGAATGAAATTTGATGCGCACACACATACATATGTAAATAGTGTGCAATTTGCATTATATTAGCGCTCATATATGATTTTGCAAAATATTTAAAACGCCACGCACACCCACTCAATAGCATACACACATACTCGTACACTTACAAACAGAAAACGGAGCTTAGATATTCTCGACAAGTTTTCGAAATTCAATACCAGCAAGTGCGAGATGCGCTGAATCTGCTAGTAATGATTTCGTGTCTAACGCAAACGCTCAGCACCGTTCACCGCTAGTCAGCAAAGCACACACACACACACACACACACATGCATGCAAACTCACGCTGATGCTGCTGCGTCTCAGCTTACCAAAAAGTCGACGCTTTCTTCTCCAACCGTGTGAGAGGCTGACGAACTAACCACAATAACAACAACAACAAAAATTATAATAAGAAGAATACCCTGCTTGGCATATAGAATTATTATGGCACTGCAATTCGCCGTTGAACGCCAACAAATTGCCGCGCTGTCGCCTCTCAGCCGCCCAGTCGCTCGGCCGTGGCAGTGTTGCATTGCATGTGCTTGCGCGTGGTTCCTTTACCGTTCGTTCGCCTCGTTTCAGTCTAATTCAATCTCGGCCATGTGCTTTATTTGTGCATAAAGTTAGTGTTCTGCTGTTCTTATTGTTGTTGCGCTTTTTTATGCCTTCCTGCATCTAACACCGGTTTACTTTTTACCTCGCTGATCTTCTTACTTTTTGCACGTTTTTCTTGTTGTTGTTGTTTGTTGCTTTTTACCATATTTATTTATGCATTCACTCTGTTGAACATTTGTTTTTTCAACATGTTGTTGTTGTTTATGCATGTATGTATGTTTGTGCACATATATATTTTCTGTTTGTCGTTTGTACATATGTATATAAATTTGCTGTTTTTGTTGTTGTGCGCATATTATTTTCAATGCACATACTGCAATGGCTCAAGTTACACGCTAATGTGATTTTACTCCAAAAACTATTGTTGTTCTTATTGTGATTATTGTTGTAGTTATTGTGCTTGTCGATCGCCAAATCTGTAGCCATGTGACCGCTTAAGCTTACAGCGCGCACATGTCCCAAAAGAACGTTCGTTGATTAGGGATTTTTGCGAAATTTCAAACTTCAAAGAACGTCCAAATTTTGTTTAAGTGGCAGAAGAAGTAGCGGTCACTGACCTTGATCATATCGCTTTGTTGGCGAAATCGCAAAGGAATTGCTGATCACTCAAAGAAGAAAAGACAGCTTGGGTAACCGCCCGATTGAGTTTGAACTCATTGAATATGAAGCATGTTCGAACAACGAAAGTATATGAGTTTGATGTAGATTGGAATAAAGTAGCGGAAACGTTCTATATACATACAAGTACATATGTATATACGAGACTATCTTGTATCGATCTATGTGGATTTATAAACCTGTTAACGGTTTAATCAACTTCTTTAGCACTCCGTAGCATTTAGATCTCTAAAAAATACGTATGAGCTACCTTCCTCTAGCTACGTTCATCCACTCTTCATTTCCTACCAGTCTTCTGCATTTTTAAATTACATCTTCCCAGTCTTGTTCCAACTAAAACTTAATTTGTGGGTATGTGTTAAACTCCCCAACTACATACCCTATAAAACCTTCTATATTCCAAGTCGCTGTTTATCATAGCATATAAAGACTCTTAACCGTTTTGTGTAGTGTTAGAGTTATCCAAAGTGATGAATGCTGAAGAAGTGTCCTCTTTTCAACGATAATAAGCACTTCATAAATGCAGTGACTTTAATTTTAAACATATCTGACCAAGCGCTATTAACTCAGCTGGTAGTTTTTACAAAATATGTTGGAAAGTTATATGTTTGTTGCAATATCTAGGACATAAGAGAGCTCTCACAAATTATATTTATGACATATAATAACTTGGCTCTAAGAAATTACTATTCTATGACACTTTAGTAAAATTTTATTATAAACCTGACGTCTTGTCACGGCTTCCATAATCCCTTAATTATTATTATTATTAGATTCTTTAATTATACTATATGTTGTTGGATATAAAGTAAATGAATATGATGAAAAACAGCATAAATCATAAGTCAGTTGAGAACTATAAGCACCTACAATTACATTCGAATGAAAAGTTATAATCTTAAATTTCAGCAAGGTATAGTACGTAAGCCACGAAGCTTACAGCAGCTGAAAGGAAAGGTCGGAGACCATATTAAGCATATATACCATATAATTTTTGATGATTTTGATTTTTATGAATTATTTGTCGAGACAGCGGTATATTCTCCGAACATATTGTGCAAATCGCCATAGCCATAGAAACTGACCTATCAAAATCTTAACGAAATTAAGAGTAGTCAAACTCTGTATACTTATATTGTAAAATATTTCCATTAATTCTTTAATAATTTATTTATTTTTTTTCGCTACTTTCCTTTACAATTTCTTTGACCCACACATTTATCTAACTTTTTTTCCGTTATCTCTATTTATCATGTATCTTAAGTTGCGCCCTTGTGAACGCACACTTTGTTTAAGGCTGTTTAACAGTAACGCACCGTTAATTCATATAAGCAAAGCAGTCAACCGACCGTGGCAACGTTAATACACCCATATCTCTCACTTTGTCTAACCGCAGTTTATCGCCGAGCTTGTGGAAGAGTCTGTGTTTTATTACTTTTATTCTTTTTTACAATCTTTTCTGACACATGAAAAGTTTGACTGCTCTTTACTCTGCATACCATGTTCCACCTGCAACCGCCTAAAGTTGCTTATAATTATTACAGTTGTATGAGGAGGTTGCCACCTGTTCTCAGACACAGTTTGAGCTTGTTCTTTAGATTAAGGATAAAAAGTAACAGCGATGACTAAGACTTTTGCGACATTAAGTTTAGAGAATGTTCATTCTTTTTTTTGCTTCACTTGCAACGCTGCAAGTTAAAGAATTTCGCTCTTGAGCATTGTTCGTAGAAAAGTTTGCTCGGTTGTGTCTCGCTTTAATTACGTTTTCGTCTATTTTATTATTATTTATTTACATACATACATCTGCACTTTTTTGCTTCGCTCCACAGCAAAGTTTTCCAAATTTAATTTTAAAATTAATTAACTTTTTCCTCTCTCTCTTACATTGCAGCTTTCGATTCATCCATTTGAATGGCAATTTATGCGACTTGCAAAATACTCATTGGACGTTGAGAAATATTTTTGTAAGTACCGCAATTTAAACAATTAATATTGTATAGCCTTAAAGTGTTTATATAAACATCATAAATGTTTTAATTAGAAATAAAAACTGTTTTTTATTAAATGAAACCGCCACTGTCATTGTTTTATGTGATAACTGTCCGTGATGGCGCCAATTTGTTTTAGCTGACGTTGCATTTACATTTTATTGACGTAGAAAAATAGTCAATCAATAACAAAGCATTAACAATCTATTTGCTTAAAAAATTTTCATACCGAAATTTCGGGATTTGTAATTAATGACTCGGGATCGAAATTTTTCTGAATAGTAATGATGATAATAAAGTATTTCCAATTAATATTAAATATTTAACACAATTGTATCCGAAATTTCGGGATTTATAATTAATGACTCGGGATCCCAAAATTTTTTTCTCGATAGTAATAACGATAAAAAAGTATAGTATTTTTAAAAGATTTGAAAAAACAAATTGATCCCGAAATTTCGGTATTCTCTGTTTAAATTCTCATCATTGCTCTCATCAGAAGACTTTACTAGGTTGTAAACATAGTAAATACGAAAAACGATACATATACTGTTCATAATTGTTTTGGTGCAGATTTCTGTAATCTCGAAATTTCGGAATTAAAAAAACTACTATTTGGGATCCCAAAAATTTGTATAAGAATATAACAAATTTTTTGCAAAGAATTCAATAAATCATTTTATAGTTTATATAAAAAAACATTTCAGTTACCCTCCCCAGATTATAAAGTCCACCGGCACTGCCAACAAGCTTCATTTCAATGATTTGCTGACGACTAGTTTTGACAAGTAAAATAATAATGAAAAGCTTATGCAGCTTCTCAGTAATACATTTGCTGCGTGATGCATTACTTTACTGCTCTTCTCTCTCACTTTAATTAAAGTTCATGGCAAAAAATAATATTAATTGAAATGGCTTTTAGCATCACTTCTTTTTTTTACCTAAAACGGCAAAAAATGTATGGCCATTTGCAAAAAAAAAACAGAATTTGCATTAAATTTTACTTTAACAGCATTTTTAATAACACTAGTATAGTTTTGTTGATAGTAATTGAAATTTAAAAGCAGTAAAATTTATTCGCTCTCTCTTTTTTATTTTAAGAATTTGCATTTCCTTTGAAATCTATTTGTCCATGTAATTATAATGAGAAAATGCATTAATAGCACAAAATTGAATTTCGAATGTAAATTTTCCATGCAATTACAGTGTTGTGCTCTCATTTACAGTTATTTGGCCAAGAGTGATGGCACATTACGGATGTTAATTACACACAAAGAAATTGTGTGTACTTGGGCAGTGCGCTAGATGCTTTGCAGCGTTTACCGTTATTTTGTAGTTTTCTGTAGGACTTGAAGGCATAAAAGTTGTAGGTGTTGACACGCGCTATGTAGTGGTGACCGTATTTTTAATAAGCTGCTTCTCCCAAAATTTCTTTTCATAATCGTCCTATAAAAGCAAGATTCTTTGAAAATGCGGCTTTCAACTGCAAAACTTCCAAGCCATTTGTGACTGTGAAGCCGTAAAGAAAATGGTGATTTTTTGGAATTTTCGGCAGTTAAAACTTTTACAACTCGCCTAAAGCGTTAACGGTAATCTAACGTCAAAACTTTTTGTAAGCATATAAAATTAGAGTAGTGAGGTTTTTAAATTCTATATTATTTAAAGTGATTATTTTGACTTGTACTAAATAAATCCCTATCTATATATGTATATATACATATTATATTACCAAGGTTGACCTATAATTATTTAGCCTGCTAAAACAATACGATTTTGCCCCTTTTGCTCTAGACATTCGTTCGATATGGCTGTCTTCGCTTTCTTCAAATTGACCAGTCAAAATCAAGAAGAGTATTATAGCTTAGGTGCTAGCTAAATTAAGGTCTTTTCTTGATTTTTATATTTTTTATTATTTTTTTTTTATTATTATTATTTTTTTATTATTTTTTTTTTTTTTTATTTTTTTCTTTTTTTATTATTTGTTTTTCATTATTTTTTTAACATTTTTTTTTTTATAATTTTTTAACATTTTTTTTTTATAATTTTTTTTTGTATAATTTTTTGTTTTGAATTTTTTTTGTTTTGTATTTTTGTTTGTTTGATCGCTGCTCCAAACCCACTGACCCAATAAACAGCATGCATAAATCTATTTGAAATGTTCGCTAACTCTGAGCCCTAACATTCCTCAGCGCCGTAAATGAATAAAACAAAACGAGATAAATCATGCCGAATCGCTCTTGAAGGCAAATACCAACCCAATTTATATATGTACATACCTAAATATATGAAAGTATATAAATATGTTTGTAACTTAGCTAACTGCCTACCTCGGTCAGCTACCGCATTTTTACGATACTCAAAAAATAAATTAGAAATTTTAAATTATCATTTTAATGACCAATAAAAACGATGTTTTAGTGACCCAGCCGCACAAACATACCGACACAGTGCTGCAGCGGCGCACACGAGACGCGTATACGGCGTGTCAAATGTGATTTAATGTACATATTAAAGTCAACAACAACAATAGCATAGGTATGCGCGCTTACTGGTATTATATGGTATACAGCTACAACAACACCAACAAATAAACAACATCGTTAGCCATTTGGGGGGCGCAAAAACGAAAAAAATGCTCTTGTAACTGTAATTGCCAAATGTTGTCAGCACTTCGTTGCATATACTTATTGTCATTTTTGTTTTTCTTGTTGTTGTTAAGTTGTTATACATTTGAACACATTTCTTTTTGTTATTTGCTGTCAACGTCATTAGCGCGCGCTAGATGGCGGTTTCTGCTTTTTTACACCTGACGTTTGCCTATTACGGTGTTGACAGCAACATTTTTTGTTGTTTTTTTTTTGCTTTTTTTATATTTATTTTTTGTTTTTTTTTTTTTTTGCTTGTTGTTATATATTTTTTGTTATAAGGGGAGCGTTTATTTCAGTCGTTTTAAGGGTGTCGCTGGGTTATATTTGATTTACTTGTGTGCCACTTTTATTTGTTTATGTTTTCACCCTCGTTTATCGTTAATTCTCGTCGAAGCTTTTTATTTTGAATTGTTTTGAGGTTTAAACTAATTGTGAGGTTTCTATTATTCTATTTAGTCCATTCATTCTTAACAGAATTAAAGGTTGTTTTGTTCTCCCTTCCAGCTATTTAGCATTATAGTTCAATGGTTTTACTCTCCAGATGCTCTTCAACGTTTACTGCAGAGTTGAGAGACAGCTTTAGCTTTAGCAAATATGCAGAGTTTCACACTTGATACATCAAAGAGATAATTAACTCGTATAGAAAATCTGTCACTAGAAGTAATGAGTGTTGAGAATATTTTTTCGAATATAATTAGAACATGATTACATTTAAGTAGTTTTCAGCGTAAGTTTATAACATAATTCGTTTAAGCGGCACACCTAGTGTGAAATTAAAAAAATATATTTTTTTTTAAATATTTCGATAGAACATACCTTTAAAAATAACATACTAACATTTTATTGATTGTCGATATCTCAAAACGTTTGTGAGCTACAGTTTCTAAAGTGTAATCGCTCAGTTTAATCCTCCATCAAATTACCTTTAGACACCCTTTTTTCAAATGAATGATTACTCGCAACGAAATGCTCTGAACGAAAGTACATTTTTCAAATATGCTTGAGTGATTACTCGGAGACAAATGATCCATACAGAGACCTAAAATTTTTTAGATTTTTTCAAAAATCGGATTTCTAGTGAAAACATTTCTTACTCTCAAAAGTTGACACTTTGACAGTCGCACTAAATCGACAATATCAGCAGTCCCCACCGACATTTTATGGACTTCTGTAACTTAAATTTATGAAACTACGAATGTTTAATAAGAAGAAGAGTTTAGGTGGTAATGACATGCTGGCGCCATCTAGCGTCAATGTTTGTTAACTTATATGTTATCCGTAATCCAACTGGAATTTGAACCAAATCAGACAATAAATAAGATTTTCAGTAATAATTCGAATCTGAGACCACCCAGAGGAAGTATTTTTTTTTAAAGGTATACCTATTTTCCTTAGCGATATTTTGAGTATGAGTGATAAAAAATGCACCTGTAAAGGATGTTATAGCTTCTGTGCAGACGAAGTTAGCGTTTTTTTTTCTGCTTTTCTTTAAGTTTATTCATTATTTTAGTTATAATATTAATTTGCCTCACGTTTTATGCGGTATTTATTGTGACTTATATTATTCGCCTCCTTTTAATGCATAACTTAAATTTTTATTGGTATAATTCTCATGCTATATAATTTATTTATTTTTGCTCCGTTTGTTGTTTTATTAACATTTTCATTTCTTTTGCTTGTTCCAACACAATCAAATTGCAGCGACACCACAGGGACTGTACGTTCCGTATTGTCTGTTATTTTGTCGCATTATTATTTCTAAACTTGTTTCGTAGCCTACACCGCACTTCAATTTCGTTTCGCTGCGACAAAATAACACGTCTACAAATGCTTGGCGCCTTTGTATAGGCTTTCTTTTCACCTGTCATGTTTGTGCCTTTGTGAGTTGTCAGTGCCTGCATACATGTTGGTTGTCGCCTATGCCCATTTCTAATTGAAAGCGGCAAATTTGCACATGTGTAAGTGCGTGGTTTTTCTTTTTGATTTTTCTTCTTTCATTTTTCTTATTACTTTTTCTTTTTTATGACTTTTTCCTTTTTTTTTTTGTAATATTTCTCGTTTTATTCTCTTTTTTTTTGTGTGTTTTTCCTTTTTTCAGTTTTCTTTTTTTTTTTTTTGTGATTTCTTCCTTTTAACGCTTTACTTAGTCCAATGCCGTTGCGGCCGCTTGACATGTCGCAGAACCGCTTTGACGCATATGTGCCTGGACCAGCTTTACCAGCGACTGACTGCTGCCATATTTGTTTTTTCCTCGTTTGCTTTGTAAGGCTTTGCTTAGACCTGCTACAATTTTGCAACGTTTGCGCCTCCACCAAAAATTGTACATGT